CCGGGACCACAGCCGAGAGCTCCCGCAGCGGACGCAGCACCAGAGCGCACCCCACAGCTCTGACCTCCCCGCACCCGGCCCATTTTGAGAATGAGTGATGGGCCTGCAGCTGACGGCCTGGGTGTGTGGGCAAGGGAAAGAGACGGGGTCTGGCGTGAGCAGCTGGCTGGTGGTGTCGGTTTTCTGAGCAGGGCCGGCCTGGGGCGGGGGGTCCAGAGTCCCCTCCGGCACCTGTTCAGCGGAGCTGCCTGTGAGGCAGCCACTCACGGCGGCCGCTGTGTTTACAAGTTGGGGGTTTGGGGGACATCAGGGTTGGAGCCACAAATGCAGCAGCCGTGGGAGAGAATGAGGTCACCTCGCGGTGAGGGGCGCTAGAGGGAAGGTTGGGGCCCTCAGGCCGCCAGTCCAGCGGCTGGGAAGAGGAAGGCCCAGCAGAGGAGGGCGAGGAGAGCCGCTGGCGAAGGGAGGAGACAAGCAGGTGACACCGCGGAGCCCCTGGAGGAAGCAGGGTCAGCTGAGCCGCTGGGGCCGGTGGAGGGGGCGCAGGGGCAGCGCGGAGACTACAGCAGTGTCAGTAGAATGTGGGAGCAGACGTCCATGTGGGAGGCCCCAACTCAAAACAAAAAGGAATGAGGAAAATACAGGCACGGCAGGCATGGGCTGGGGCTCCCCAGGGCAGAGGCTCAGTGAGGATTAAAAAAAAAAAAAAAAAGGACGAGGAAAACCCAGTGGAAAAACTCAGCACTTAGTCATGAAAAAAACCCAAAACAAAACCGACCACACTTAAACCGGGAATAGAAAGGGCCGTCTTTCCTCCGCTGAAGAGCAGCTGTAAAAACACTGCTCCTTTTAGCTGCCTTGGCCGGGGAGCTCAGAGCATCGTGCCAGGACCCCAAGGTTGTGGGTTCGATCCCCGGTCAGGGCACATACAAGAAGCAACCAATGACTGCACGAGTAAGTGGGACAACAAATCTGTTTCTCTCGAGTCAATAAAGTATTTTAAAAATGGACGTTTTTCTCTTGGGTTGGGAGTGAATGGGAAATGAGGTAGAGATGGGCAGTGTAGACAACTCTTTTGAGAAGTTCTGCTGTGAAGGAGACTTGATGGCAGG